AACCCTACAGGTTGGACTGCTCGTGTTTCCCAAGGACAAATTATTTTTGAAATGGATGGGAGACAGAGAGAGAGAGAGAGAGGGGGGGGGGGGGGTTGAACCCATGACCTCCTGCAATGCCACTTGTTTGTCTTTCCAACTGAGCTCGTGTTTCACTCCTTCCATTTCTTTTTTTTTCCCTTTTGGGTATTGACATATCATTGTTGATGAGCAAGCGCCGAGCGCTCTAGCTCAGTTGGTTAGGGTCATCCTGAGACGCAGCCCACGGAACGTGAGAGAAAATCTTCACCCCACTACCCCATGGGGGGCGGGCCTTTTACGAACGAATGGTGGGCACGATCGAAATCTCAAAAAGAAAGAAAATTTTGCTCCTTTCTAAGGACAGGGTAGGGGTCCAGCACTTTTGGAATTTCCAACTACTTTCGCAGCCACTATTCCGCGTGTCCTGCGATTTTACCCACCCTCCGAAAGCTTCAACCAAATACTTTGCCTCGCCTTACGGGCAGAGTTGAGCGTGGGCTCCTGAAAAATGTCCGAAGTGTTTCGGGTTTAAGTAATGTGGGAACAGACCCTTAGGTTAGGTCCCGAATCCAATGCCCACTGGCCGTCTGGCCACACCAGGTGCCAACCAACTGAGATAGTTGGCTTGCTCCCCCAGTCGGCATTGCCAGGGTATTTGGCCCCCCTCACAGGCGGCCTCACACTGCCCTCTGACTGTGCCCGATTAAGGCGGGGGACATCCCCTTGATCGTGAGAGGTAGCTGTGCTTGCAGGGCGTTTCCCTGTATAATCTTTAGGAGTGGTGGTTGATTGGCAGTGAAAGGTGAAAAAGAGAGAGGAATATTGATTAGTCTGGACAAGAAAGGAAAAAATCAATCAGCGTCGAGCTGACTGCCCCTAGGTGATTCTTTTTGTTTTTTCTTCCTGTTGGGAAAAGAGTGTGATTCGTGCTATTGAAAGAGTCTCGATTCGAGCTCGGGTCCGTATTTCAACAGCTCTGATCTACGCCCATTGATCTCTTGTTTACTTTCTTTTCGGGCCCCTGGTGGCACTAAGGACCACGGATCACGCATCAAGGAAACCAGATACACGCCATGGCACGAAAACGCATCAAGGAAACCAGATACTGGCCAGGGCACGAAAAATACAACAGCGGTTTCTACATCTCCCTCCCCGCCCCATGGCGCGCAAATACTTCAAGTTCAGCCTGCGGCGGGGAATGGCTCCAGTTTCTCTATTAGGCATGGCGCCAGCCTTTTTCGTTGATTTTTTTCTTATTTTTCTCATGGCGCCAGTTTCGCTATCAGAGTTTGCCGCCCGTGCGCACGAAATTCAATGCAATGTCACCGGCTCAGGTGCCATCGCTGGGGCGCGGTATGGAAAATGCGGAAACGACACTGTAGATCGCCTTCCCGCTCTTAGCACAGCACAAGCGCCAAGCTGCAGGGAGGGCGAGAATGTCGACAGATTTCCTCGCCTCCCTCTGTGTGTGCGTGCGTGTGTGTGTGTGTGTGTGTGTCTGTGTGTGTCTGTGCGCGCGTATTTCCCCGCTTGGTCTCCATCTTCCTTTTCCCGCCCTGCCACCCACCCACCTCTCCCCTCGCGTCGGTTTCGCCTCCCATTCCTGACGAACTTCACACACTGAGCCCCAAACCTTCCCTGGGGTATTGCCCGCCATGAAGCAGCGATGRTCACACGCGAAAGCTGCCCTCAGCCTCCAGGGCCGAGCGGCGGTCGTGCAACACATCCCGCTCGTGATTGTGAGCGCGCCACTGGCGAGCGGGAAAATACTGGCGTGGACGAATTTTGATTTTGTGATGCCTCGTGCATTGGCGGGCGATCGCGGCCCCGGTCGTAGCAAGTCTGCCTACTGCACTCCCCTTGGAGTGCGGACACACGACGAACAGTACGGATGCACTTGGCGCCTAAGGGACATTTCCAACACGATCATCGTGCAGACAGATCCCAAGCGTTCTATAGTTACCCAGCGGGGATGCCACGACCTTCACTCAAATAAAGCTGCGGTTTAGCGACCGAGCTTGCAGATCGAAGTGGGCCGCTGCTTTCGTCGTGCAACATCAGAGCAAGTCGTGCTAAGGTTGAACGAGGCTGTGCGCTGAGTATATCAGGGAGGAGCGAGTTTAACCCGGTGTGCGATTTCCAGAGCTGAGACGAGGAGGTCAACGAACAGCCCACGAGGAAAGCTGCCCCGCTTTCGTCGGAGCGTGATTTGTGGACATAGCTTGTTGAAACTTATGTGGGCCGATCTTGCAGCTGAACGGATATCCTAGTCTTTGCTGCTTAGTACGGTGTCTATCGAAACCTCTGAAGCAGCAGCAGCAAGCGCGGGGCAATTGACAAAACTTGTAGCTCAGCTTCGCTTTTGTTCTGCATTCGGTGGGAACAGCAAGCAAAACTCCGGGGCAGCGTTGGGCTCAACAGGACTGACTGCTGGAACTGCTGGTGACCAACGCCCCCCCCAGTTTGGACGTCGTCCCTGCCAATCCGCCAGTTTTCCTCCTCCTCCTCCTCCTTGGTCTACTCCACGTCCTCCTCTCACTGCACGTCCTTCCACTCGATTCCCTCCTGATAGTCCTTTTCTTGGTTCTGGTTCAACTTGGTGAATCATCCATTCTTTGCCGGTCATTTGGCAGGCTTTTCTCCGCATTTACCGACGTCGATGGCGTCCATGATGACGCTGCTGCTCGTTGGAACATTGACCGTGATGCTTGTGGGGTGCAGTCACCCCCTCGGTGGCAGTGCCATGATCGTGGCAGCGTATGGTGCCCAAGCTTCCCAGGCAGTTGCTTCCTCCTCGCCGACAGTCGCGACAGCTTTCTCGTCGAGTGTGAGATTCTCACGGAGGGATTGGAACACGCGGACGTCCACCGAGGTAGAGGAGCCTGGACCTAATCACTGGGACGGAAGTCTGGCCACCGTGGATGAGCAAGGAAAACTGCATCTGAAGATCTCCAAGAACGGGCAGGGAGGGTGAGCATCACGTCGCGCTGACCTACCTACCTACCTACCTACAGGTTCTGCTCGCCCAGAATAAATTGCAGCTGTTTTAGACTTCTTAGCTTTAATTGTCAGACAAGCCGTGATTTTTTTTATTTTTTATTTTTTTAAGCGGTGATTTTCGAAGTACCAAATTCGAGGCTTTTGCGAGTCATACAACGGCCCTATCCAATAAACGCCTCTCTGACTTGAACTTTGCCTGGCTGGGTGTCCAATGTCTGTCTTGTTGCTGGATGCAGGTGGTCATGCGCCGAGGTTTTCCTGCCGTCTTCTCTGGGGTATGGCACGTACACCGTGAAGGTGTCATCGCCGACGAACGATCTGCATGAAAACGCGGTGCTCGGGCTTTTCACCTACGCCGACGTCGCCCAAAGCGAGCTGTCCAACCCGCATCGTGAGTTCGACGTGGAGGTTGCCAAGTGGGGCGTGGCCAGCGACAGCACCAACACCCAGTACGCCGTGCAGCCGTACCAGCTGCCGGGTCATCGCCTCCGCTTCGCCGTCCCCGGGCCGGAAGCCACCGTCCATGCGATGACCTGGTCGCCCAACGAGCTGTCCTGGACCAGCACCTCCGCCTCGTCCGGTGCGCTCCTTCAGTCCTGGTCGTTCAAGAGCACGCCAGAAGTGGGCGCCGTGCCACCGCCGGGCACCGAGGTCTTTCACATCAACCTGTGGCTGTTCGAAGCCAGCCTGCCGCAAGACCACGCGGACGTCGAGATTGTCCTCGATTCCTTCTCCTTCGAACCACTCAAGGCGCCTTCTCGAAAACTGCTATCACTCCAACTCCGCAGCGGGCACCTTCGCCGTCGCTCAACACCATCATCATCCACGGTCATCCTGACGGGGAAGACGGTGATTATGCTATGATTTGTTTGTGTATTTATTTCGAGACCTTCAAGTACAGTCCATCCGGTTTATTTATGCGAATGTGTTAAATACCTGTGGTTCACTCTCCGTTTTCCCTGTGCCGCGGGGATGCAGTATGCGCTCAATGTTCCGCGGACAGGACGACATTTCCTTCTTCCGACCGTTCGGATGGTTCTTGACCGGTGGCCACCACCGCCCGGAGGGGTTATCGCCGTGATGAGGTTCGAGAAGATAGTCATGTATTTATTTTTTTATTAGATTATTTTGTTCGTTCATTTATGCTGCGTATAGAAGAGCTCGAATGTACTGCGTGACACCCACTCTGTTCATTCATCAACAGGAGCAACGTCGGAAAACACCGGTTGTTCGTTTCCTCACGTACCGTCGCGGTTGTTTTTTCCTTGTTTTCTCCTCGTAATTGTCCACGACTTTACGTTTTCGATGTCACTCGTAGGGCCATTCCATTTCTTTTCTCGCGGTGTTCCATTTACGATTTAGAAAGTCTCTCAAATGCTCGAACACATCGGACATTGAGGAGCTGGAGGGAAGGTGCACGAGTGCACGAGGGTGGAGGGAGGCGGGGATGCCCCCAAGTAGAATGCAGATTGATCGTTTTTCCTCTTCTGTCCGTCATGGCTCTGACAGTTGATGAAAAATGTGTTTTCCTTGCCTTTGAAATGCTTCCAATTATACCTTTCTCGGCCTTTTGGCTAGGATCAAGTGTAGTATCTGTTCTGATCAGCTTAATATCTGATCCGTGGTCCATTTGACCACATTTAAAAAAAAAAAAAAAAAAAAAGAAATGCTTCCAATTTGTAATGCAATCCATTGCTCCAGTGGTTAGTCGCTTTAGACACGTCGTGAGGACACCGTTGCGGTGCCAGGGGATATCCTCCGTTCCCCCAAAATCGGGTTGCCTGAACAGTTGGCGGACTGTCGAGACGTCAAACACGAGCGCTGCTATCCTTGGTGTGTGTTTCAGCATGTCTATGCACTATGCCTGCGTGCGTGCCTTTGTGTGAGTGGATGTGAGGAGGAAATAACGTGTTTTCATTTGTGTGTGCATTTCTGGATGGTTGTCCTTCAGTCGATACCACCCACCCACCGGATCTCTATACAGCATATCACATCTCCCTCGGCTTAGACCTGGCGCTAACGGAACAGGGTGATCCGAAGCTATTGAACTTGGTGCTAATGGTGCGCATTTATACGTGACCAGACCTCTCTGACACGTCGCCGGCATTCAGACAGAATCTGGTGAGAAAAAACGTGCAACGCACCGTTTGTGATTTCGTGTTCATGTCCGTGCGAGTCCTTGGGGCCTTCATCGCACAATATTGCATTGTTCTATCAGAAGCGGATCATGTTTCACAATTTCGTTTCATGGATCTTAAATGCTTGGAAAGCATTGTTCATGTCGTTGGCTGCTAGGGTTTCGCCCTCTCAGGCAATCCTTGGAAAGCATTGGATGATTGGACGAGGAGAATACATCGCGGGAACAACAGCGGACGCCGGACAGTTCCATACAGTCATACACCAAACCTGTCTCTCTGTTGTATCATTTCCCAACCTCGACCACGATCCTTTCGTGGGTGGTTGGGGGTTCGAAGGGAATGCATTTGATTCCGACATTTTACACAACTCTGCGTCATCAGATGTGACTTGCCACTTGGCCGAGAGGATATACTCTTAAATTGCATTTCCACCGGTCCCACCACGTCCTCTGTAATCTCCCCCTTCGTTCAAAGACCGGACTGTCGATCTCAGAGGCAGAAAACACTTGCACCCACACACGCTCACGAAATGTAATGCTCCGCCTGCCAAGAGAAACCGGGTCGAGATTTGCAATCATCCCCAGGGATGTTCTAGAAGGAACGTACTGTAGAATATACCATTTTTTTTTCCGTTTCTGCACAGAAACTGGCACGTCGAATCCTTTCCCATGTTTCTAACCAGCAAGACTGAGCAAGTCACTCTCCACTGTGCCTCTTAAATTCACCATTGCTTTACAATAGTGTGCCATGCTTTCCGTAATCGCTCGTCCGCTGGTTACCGCTCGAAGGTAAGGTGGAGGTTGGTCAGCTTTGCTTTGACTCACCCACGTGACCTGTTTAGCCACCTCAGCCTTGAATCCAAAATTGATGAACCTTTTTCCGCTGCTATGGAGCCAATTCTAGTGAATAAGGGTCCCACCAAAGAGTGTCCGCACAAGCACTCTCCCAGTGCCAAGAAATGATGACCATGACCGACGTCCACAAAACATGCCACTATTTGTAGCCCTCTTTGCACAGCTAATGCTGCTACTCGCAGGAGCACCGTTCCTACTCCTCCCGCTGGGACCACGATCAGCACGCAACCACCAATGCCCACCATCATTTTATTGTAATAACTTCCACGTTCACTACGCTGCTTACCAGTTCTACGGGTGGGGGTGATATTTCCAATGCCTCTACCACTAGCACTACCAAAGCCAGTACCACGACTACTACTGCTACCATCCGCCTTGGATTGCTTCTTGGTAACCACGTTTCGCACTGTGAGGGAAGGAGGGGAGAGTCTCTACCAGCTTGTAATGCTAGCAAGGCAGGGTCGGATGAGACTCAGGAGAGGAGAGTTTATCTTCGGCTGGCATCACCACCGCTTGACCCATATAGCATTTCACCTGCTTCCTGATGAGGTTTGAACAGTGGCAGGACGGTGTCCATATTGCTAATGCCTTTTCTTTCTTCTTGAGGCTATGCTGCCGCTACAGCAGACCTTTGGCACTCTAGAGCTGCCTACAGTGCCTAGATTCTCGTTGTTCAAATGTTCTTGCGCTAGGTTCATTACATCGTTTTTTCGGATTTTTTTTCCCTTTGTTCCGTCTCTGTCAGTCCGTGTGAAAGTGGTCTGTGAAACTTTCAGAGAGACACCGCTTGGGTTCGTCACATAGCAATGTCCCAAATTCTTGTCTTCATATGCACTCAGAAATCCCTGCAACGTAGAAGACATGATCTTCTACAGTTTCTCTCTTTGCAAGCCGACTGCCTTCTTCTTCTTCTCTTCTTCTTCTTCTTCTTCTTCTCTTCTTCTTCTTCTTCTTCTTCTTCTTCTTCTTCTTCTTCTTCTTCGATTGATTGATTAATTAATTAATTAATTGATTTAAAGGCCAATCCGTCTTGCACAGCTCTGGTTTTCGTTGCCATAAGGCACTGCCGGGCAGTGTCGGCTAGCTCAGTAGGTTTCATGCCTGAGCTGCACCGAGTAGGTGCTGGGCTCAAAACCCGCTGCGCGGCTGCGGTCACTTTCAGTGACCTGAGGATGGCCCAGGACAGAACGACCCTGGTTAGTTGTGCCGCCCTGCAACGGTGCAACCTGTAGCTATGCCGAAGCACGAGGCCTGGTGGAGGGATCTGGGGAATTGTCCTGCGTCACCGGGCGTGGCGCTCTAGTGTGTGGTGGGGAAGGCCTGTCTAGCGTGTGGTGCAACCTGTAGCTATGCCTACTGTGTAACCCGTTGGGACATACCCAAGCATTCCGTGTTCGCATTCTCGTTAGAATCATCTTAGCTGACACCCATGGCTCAATTAGGTTGCCTGTCAGGGTCGAGACCCCAAATTTACTCAGGATTCTGAGAAGAAGAAAAAAAATTACTCAGGAATCAGGATTCTCGAGAGGCATGGGCTCTGAATACCTCTCGGAACAGGACTTCAATAAAAATAATAATAATGACGTATAAATTTATATGATATACACAGATTCTAGAATATCAATAATAATGATCTTAAATTACCTGGGACTGGTCACCAGGTCCTGTGGATGTATCACCAAACTTGTTAGCCAGCAAAGGCCCAGCATATCCGGAAGCGAGTGCTGGGCTGGGCTGGAAAGTGGACACTGTAACTGACCAGGTGCACAAGAACTTGAGGGAGAAAAGTCATCTCCCTCAGTGTTGATGCAATGGCTCTTTAAAAAGATATTCAACCAGAAGCCTACGAGTTTTTCCGAGGTATAGATTTGTCATTGTAGAGTCACTGCAGTGCACCCTGCATGACAGCCTCAGTGGTGTGGTTGGGAGGTTCCCGCAAGGAAAACAAAATCAGGGTGTTATCACTTCGGGTACCCAGTGCTCACCCCGCCCATATCCTGTCCAAGGATGCTTGCTTCTGTTTTTTTTTCCACAAAAAACAGACGTCTCCAATCTATCTGTGGGGAGCTTCACCTGCTGGAAATCGGGTCCAGTGTCCCTTTACAGTTTTCAGCTAGTTAGCTCTCAATGACATTATACAAACTAAACAACATTGATTGCCCTCAAGGGAGGGAAGTGACTGTTTTCTGAAGACAAGGCAGTGAAGGCACTCCTTTGGCTCCAAGAGGGGGGATCGATTGACGCCTTTACTGCTTCTGCTACCCAATGCATGGAATATCAGGTCTTCTCAGTCCTCATTGGGGATTCCTTTTCCGTCTCCAACCAACGACTCCGGCTCTTCCCTCTGCAAGGTTGAGGAGCACTCTGCTTGGCCAGTCCCTCGGGAAAATAGATCGGGCGGGGATAGGGGAAATCAGGAGAGTGGTTGAGTGGCAAAATCAAGGTTCTTGTGGAGTTCTGGGAGGGGTCGAAAAGCTGAAGCTTCAGCCCCGGACAGAAGGTACATGTGATCATTGCTGTGTAATGAGTGTATCCAATGGGACGCTGGAGCCGATTTCCAGCAGGTGAAGCTCCCAACCAATAGATGGAGCAACCCAACAGGCAAGGCCTCAATCCTAGTGGTTCTCATACCACCACCAGGCTCCAGGATAGTGGGCTTGCAATGCGGTTTTTCAACAAAAAAAAAAAAAAAAAAAAAAAGGGGCTGAGGGTATTATTGGGGAAATGATGGGCAGGGTAAAAGGGAGAGGGAAGTGGGCAGGGGGCAGGGGGCAGGGGGCAGGGGGGATATGGGGAATGAAATACCAGTGATAACCCAACCCCTAAAGATTGGGCGATGTCTGATTGGCTGTGTTCACAGAAGGAGAGGGCGAGGGAAAGAGACATTGGGTCTCTGTCACTGCATTCATCAGCTGCCCAGGCAGTGCAGTGAAGAC